AATAATCATGAATTTGTATAAATCATATTTAAGAATCTGCCACAAAGCTGCGTGAGTTGTGTATGCAACCTATCCTAGGAGACCTGTCATATCAAATCATTGATATCAGCTCATTAGCTAGTATTTGACCATATCTTAACTAGAAATCTCTAGTATGAGAAGGTATCCTTCTTATATGGATAGATTAGATTATTATCGTTTATTGCTCCCCCCCCCTCAAGCTACAAGCTAAATATGACTGGTAATAATGTACAGGGTTACACACAAAGGATGCAACTTCAGCGACGATATAAAACTTATAGAATTTGACATTGTTTGTTTTCTTAAACGTTCATACGTTCTTAAACCTGTACATAATATATCAAAATTTCCTACATTCTCGTGTTTTATGAATATCCCTGTTTATTCAGATACAACAGTACAACTTGTTTTTCCCAACATATATCATCTTTAGAAGCGTTATTAAGGAACAGGTATTATTATCCCTCAACAACCTGGACACTGTAGAGTGGAGAGAAGGACTATGTCAAATTCACACTTCACGACTTTGTGACCTTGTAGCTCTTGTAGTTTTGTTGTATGCACATGTATAATAAAGTCAAATTTACCCGGTTAAATTCTTAAAATTCAAAACATTTTATTCTTCTCAAAATCTCGAGCTATGATTAAAAAACATAATATTTCAATCTTACAAATACGATTTACTTTAGTTTGACCTTATCATTGAACGAATATTTTCCAGAGAGAACTTTTTCGTTTGGAAACTAATAAAAAAGTGGAAGCAGTGAAAAAATATAAAAGCAATTGTAATTGTTCTTGGTTTTATGAGTTCAATGGGAACTGCACAGACTAGATATACATATAGACTGCAAAACAGTTTCACGGGCTGGTTTATAGTCGTACCGGCACGGGCTGGTCTATAGTCGTACCGACACGACATACACATACAAAATGTTTTGACAGCCATCTAACCACAAAATGTTCCAAAGGACCCTTAAATATCCCTGAATATAGACGTCTACTAATAAGTCGTACACTCGCATACTCTAGACTTTGATAGATCTCTGTATTCTCTTATCTCTAGGTAACAGTCATTGGATTTTTAAGTTTGATGGTACATGACATTGCTATTTTGAGTTCAATGGCACATGTGTTTTTTTTTTATCAAAAAGTGAGTTTGTATGAAAGCCAATTCAAACTCAATAAAGGAATTGAGTTTTTGCCACAAATTCAAATTTTCTAATCCCTATATCTTTGCAACTAGATGGTGTAAACCGATGAAATTTAAAACTGACCTATTTGATCTAACAGAATTCATATCATAGATCTACTACATCGGGTTCCTAAGATATAGGGGGAAATTTAGAGTTTGTGGCAAAAACTCATTTCCTTTGTTGAATTTTCATGATAAATATGTCCGTTAAATATACAATACTTAAGCTGTTGAAATTTAGAATTAAGGTATGAAATTAGAAAACTTCTTTAAAAGTATATACATATAAGAGTTAAAAGTACTTTTTAGTAGTTTTATTGAAGTTGAAGTAACGGAGTAAGTAAGACCCGTATCTGGTGAATATGGTTTAAATTCTTTACTCCGCACAGTTTTCATCTTAAAGGAGATAATTAAATACAATGTTTTAAATTTATTTCATCATTAATTAGTATGGTTTGAGACAATTGATTTAATAAATGCTTAAAAAAATCTGTCTTGAAATACTCAATTCAGAAACTTTTAATTCACAGAAATTAAATTATTTAGAAAATTATATGTAAGGAATAAAATGGATGGTCTTTAGCGTTCTGAGACACATCTTTATATATCAATTTTCATGAATTTTGATAAAATTGATACAGATTGACAATAAGCTTGTTGGCTGGGGTTATAAGAATTGAAATTTCAATAATATATAACGAATTAGCACCAACTCAGGAGGAATTTATCACCGAAAAATAGAAATATAGATAGATAGAAATATAGATAGATAGAAATATACATAGATAGAAATATAGATAGATTGAAATATAGATAGATAGAAATATAGATAACTGACAAGTTTACCAAATTAATTTACAGAACTATAAATAATAGCAGGAGGAAAGTAGAGAAGAAGATGGGAAGAAGGTAAAGAAAGATTGGGACAGAAGGAAGGGTAGACTAGAAGGAAGGGAAGGGTAGACTGAAAGGAAGGAAGGGTATATATATGAATTGGAAGGAAGGGAAGGGTAGCATAGAAGGAAGGGAAGGATAGACTAGAATGAAGGAAGGGTATATATATGAATTGGAGGGAAAGGAAGGGTATATATATGAATTGGAAGGAAGGGAAGGGTAAATATATAAATTGGAAGGAAGGGAAGGTTATATATATGAATTGGAGGGAAGGAAGGGTATATATATGAACTAGAAGGAAGGGAAGGGTATATATATGAATTAGAAGGAAGGGAAGGGTATATATGAATTGGAAGGTAGGGAAGGGTATATATATGAATTGGAAGGAAGGTAAGGGTATATATATGAATTGGAGGGAAGGGAAGGGTATATATATGAATTGGAAGGAAGGGAAGGGTAAATGTATGAATTGGAAGGAAGGGAAGGGTATATATATGAATTGGAAGGAAAGGAAGGGTATATATATGAATTGGAAGGAAGGGAAGGTTATATATATGAATTGGAGGGAAAGGAAGGGTATATATATGAACTGGAAGGCAGGGAAGTCTTTATATATGAACTGGAAGGAAGTGAAGTGTATATATATGAACTGGAAGGAAGGGAAGGAGTATAAGCATGAGTGGACTGAAAATATTAGAAATATATGATATGCGACCATCGTTTCATGGATCGAAGCTTCTTCATACTATTTGGGTTTAAGGATTATGGTTTGAGAAGACGGGTTCCCCTGGAGGAATAAATTGGGGATTGGGGGATGCAGAGATATACCCGGAGAGAGAGAGAGAGACAGGAGAGAGAGAGAGGTGGCGGCAAATCCCGCTCCCGAACACGGTTCAGTTTCCCTAGTGTATCCGCCCTGACCAAAGATCAGTCAGTTCTTCCTTCATCTCAGTTCTCACAAGGATTAATTAAGTTTTCAACAACAGGGTGAACTATAAAGTGAGATTATGTAAAATCTTGACTGAAAGATTTACTTGAGCTGAGTGGAAAGAAAAATAGTTTCAACTAATGAATGAGTACTAGAGCTAGGCAAGCATTCAAACCTATTAAACAGGAGAAATATCCCTCTTATTCCCTGCCCTTAAACTAAATGTTTATTAATCGTACGATTTGAAGGGTGTAAGTATTAATTATCTCAAATATGATATCAATTCATAATATCATCTAGGTCATTTCATTAACTAACATTTAATATTTCAAAATTTCAAGTGAAATGCCTCAATGAGCTCTTACAAATATCTCAATTAAATGCATAATTTTATTTCTAAAGTTTCCAGACTAAATATAGTCAACTCATGAGGTGAAACCGATAAAATTACAACTTGAACATGACTTCATACAAGACATTGTATTTAGTATTAAATATATATTACTTTAATTAAAAGCTTTTACTGAGTGATGATAAATATTGTAAGAAATCTTTGTGAAAAGGGATGTTATGGAATTATTCCTATTCCTTCATTAACCTTTTATAAAACATATATCCTATTCTCTCTCTTACCTATATTTATCTAAACAGATCCTACCTTCTCTTCTTTCCTATTTCTTCCCCAACCTATTATCTAAACAGATCCTTCCTTCTCTTCTTTCCTATTTCTTCCCAACCTATTATCTAAACAGATCCTTCCTTCTTTTCTTTCCTTTTTCTTCCCCAACCTATCATATAAACACATCCTTCTGTCTTTTCTTTCCTATTCTTTTTCTCTAACCTACAAATCCGTTCCTATTATCTATCATGATCTATTATTCTTCCATCTATTCTATTCCATCATATTCCTTCCTCAACCAATCATCCAAATATATCCTATTCCACATTTTTTATTCTATTCATATTGCTACTTATTTTCTAAACACATCCTTCTATTTAATCTATTCCAACCTATTATCTTGACACATTCTATCCTTATCCTTCTCCAACCTTCTATCCTGATTCCATCTCCAACCCTGGTTTATAACCTTCTCCTCCTTATTTTCTATTTTCTATCTGAGTTGAACCTGAGTTTAACAGGTTTATTAATGGTTCAGCTCCTGCACTGCATCTGAACTTGACAGGACTAACAGCCTCTTACTAACCATCAATAATAACAAATTAAACATTAAATCAAAAAAAGGACAATAAACGTAGTTTCAAGTAGCTCTCCATTAAAAAAATTTTCATGTCCGATTCACAACCTTTTTAACCTCTGTATGAGTAATATTATGGAAGATATCTCATTTCTTAAAACGTGTAAGATTCTGACAATTTCCCATTTGCTTCAGTGGCATGAATCCGCAAGTCATTTTTATGAGAAACCGCAATTGTAAATAATTAATTTTCGACTGAAAAGAAGGATATCTCATTTATCATACAAAGGTTTAAGGGTAGAATTATGAATTAGATATTGTCGTACATCTTTGATATTTCAAACTTATATTATTTGATATAACAGAATTCATAATTTGAAATATCTAAGGTCTACGACGATGGAATCTAAAGATATACGGTTTAGAAAAGCAGAGTTTGTGGCAAAGACTCAATTCCTTTAGAGTCATTTGAAATTACGTCTACAGTCCCTTTAAAAATCATATTATAAAGGAATTAATTTTTTTCCACAAATCCCAATTTTATATTACCTAAATCTCAACAACCAGATGATGAAAACCTTTCATATTTCAATCTTACATTATTTGATCCACCAGAATTCATAGTTTGAAATATCTACGGTCTACGACATTTGGTTTTGGGATTTAAAAATCCGAGTTTGTGGCAAAGACTCAATTCCTTTTTAAAAATTAATTTTGTTAAATCTAGTTTTTTCCTGCAGGCTTAATGGTTTGAATGGATTGGTTTAGATCAGGAACCAGGAATGGAGGAAGAAGAGAAGAGCAAATGGACTGAGAAGAATGAATTAATCCCAATCTACCGATTAATTAAACTCCAACAAGACGACCTGTGAAAAGGGACTGTTCAGTGTTCAGTGTTAAACAAAAACTGAAAAGTTATCAAAGTGAAAGTTAAAACTTTATATTAACGACAGAAGTGATAATTTGAAAACATTATATTCTAACAGTGTCCTGATCTAAGATGAATTCTAGAATGCGAATGATGAAACTATTAGGTTTATATGTTCTCTCCGTTCTCCTTCAACCTGCAGTAGGATCTTGGATGTAAGTATTTGGATTTAAACAAAACAGAACTTAATTCTAACTCAAATAAAGTGCTGAGCAGACCTGCACCCGTTGCAATTCAATTAAATAAATTTAGTCAATTTTAGAAGTCAAAAAATGTTTAAGTTAAAAAAATGTTTCCGAAAAAATAATAAGATTTGAAATCTAAATGAAGGATAACTTAAAAAATGGGTAATAAGTCAATTTTAGAAGTAAAAATATGTTTGTTATTTGTACAAATCTAAAACCCGGTTTGCATTCATGGATGTAAGACTCAATTCCTTTAAGGTAAAAAAATGTTTCCGAAAAAAATAATAAGATTCGAAATCTAAATGAAGGATAACTTAAAAACTTGGTAATAAGTTCTAAAAAATAAAAATTCTTATTGTTTCCTATATAATAAAGCTCTTTGCTCATAAATATTTTTTTATTCCACGTGCAACGCCGGGTACTTCAGCTTGTATCTGATATATTCAGATATTGTGTATATTTATATGACCAATAAAGTCTAACTAAGCCGCTCTGTTTACATCTCCATACTGTCTGATTCTAATATTGGTGTTTTCCAGTGCCAAGAGAACATTTAATATGAATTCCATTTATTGGAACCAAATTCCAGGGATTGGAATTTAATTAAAGATAATCGTTTCATAATAGACTTATTCACTGTGTTTTACTAATTCTTTTGACGGAAAAGTAGAGCTAATGAATTAAGGTTAACAACTAGATCTACATTTAATGGTAGATAATGTAGATAGGCAGGAGGGTAAATCTGTTTTATAAATAGATAGATACGACATGTAGATTAGTTGATAAGGTAGATGGAATTGGCAAGTAAACAAGGTTGATTTGGATTTAGATAACATAGATTTGAAGGTAGATAGAGTTGAGAGAAAGATAGATAAGGTAGATAGGCAGGTAGATAGGGTAGAGAGGAAAATAGATAATGTAGATACTAGATAGGGTTGAAAGGAAGATAGACAAGGTTGATAGGCAGATAGTTAGAGTTAAAAGGAAGATAGACAAGGTATATAGGTAGGTAGATAGAGTTGAGAGAAATATAGATAAGGTGGATATACAGATAACCAGAGTTGAAAAGAAGATAGACAAGTTATATAGGTAGGTAGATAGAGTTGAGAGAAATAAAGATAAGGTAGATAGGCAGGTAGTTAGAGTTGAAAGGAAGATAGACAAGGTATAAAGGTAGGTAGATAGAGTTGAGAGAAATATAGATAAGGTAGATAGGCAGGTAGATAGGGTAGAGAGGAACATAGATAAGTAGATAGGGTTGAAAGGAAGATAGACAAGGTATATAGGTAAGTAGTTAGGTTGAGAGAAATAAAGATAAGGTGGATAGGCAGGTAGTTAGAGTTGAAAGGAAGATAGACAAGGTATATAGGTAGGTAGATAGAGTTGAGAGAAATATAGATAATGTAGATAAGCAGGTTTATAAGTTCAAAAGAATGATAAATGAGGTTAAAAGGTAGGTAGGCAAGGATTATAGGGAGATACCTTTGTGTGGTTAAGGCTTACTAAAGTAAGAGAGAAAAGGTACTGGGTGTCCCGGCCACGAAAAATGACAGTTGATGAATAGTTTAGAATGCCATCTTCCAAATACTGGAGACTTTTTGAAGTTTAGTTCGGTAGAAAAGTCTTTTACTATAATATATCTTAATCTTAGGATGGATTTTACTGTGATAAAACTGCCATATAATGTTTACTATTATTCTCTTAAGGTATCAAACAACTTAACCAATTCTGGAAGAAGACATTTTAAAATATTCAGCAACTGTCATGTTTCGTGGGACAACCTGTATTTAAACATTTGATTAACATTTGGAGATACGCAGAAGGAATAAATGTAATCTGTTGAACCACAAAAGATAAGGATTAGTGGCTTCTAAGGGATTAACTATACAAAAGTTCCAACGTCAGGTAAGGTAGATATGTGCAGTGTGAACCAGAAAAAAACACGAAATAAGAAGACGACATTTGGGTGATACTTATGTGTGTGTATTTGATGTTGTTACAAAGCAAATAGTTTCACTAAACCATTATTAAATCACTCATTTAGTGAAATGTTTTTTTACACGAACAATTGCTGTTTCTCATGCTCATTGGACTTTTTAAAGCTATAATTGGTTTCTAAAAGTCGTCTTCCCTATTTAAGAGTTTTTGGTTATCACTGTAGTAGAATAATAAATTAAAGGAAGATAATAAACTAAGAAAAGAAAAGAGAATGAAAGAAATGGAAGAGACATGGAAATGAGTAATTTAATGCATTTGTTGAGTGTAGGAGATGTGGAAGAATTATTTATGGTATCTTTCCATCTAGTTCCATCTAGTACAATCTAGTTTTATCTAGTTTAATCTAGTTTCATCTAGTTTAAACTAGTTTTATCTAGCTCTATTTAGTTCCATTTAGTTTCATCTATTTCTATTTTAATTCCATCTAGTTTAATCTAGTTTAATCTAGTTTTATCTAGTTTAATCTAGTTGAATCTAGTTTCATCTAGTTCTATCTAGTTCTATTTAGTTCCATTTAGTTTCATCTATTTCTATTTTAATTCCATCTAGTGCCATCTAGTTTAATATCATTTAGTGAAATGTTTTTTTACACGAACAATTGCTGTTTCTCATGCTCATTGGACTTTTTAAAGCTATAATTGGTTTCTAAAAGTCGTCTTCCTTTTTAAGAGTTTTTGGTTATCACTGTAGTAGAATAATAAATTAAAGGAAGATAATAAACTAAGAAAAGAAAAGAGAATTAAAGAAATGGTAGAGACATGGAAATGAGTAATTTAATGCATTTGTTGAGTGTAGGACTGAGATGTGGAAGAATTATTTATGGTATCTTTCCATCTAGTTCCATCTAGTACAATCTAGTTTCATCTAGTTTTATCTAGTTTCATCTAGTTTTATCTAGTTTTATCTAGTTCTATTTAGTTCCATTTAGTTTCATCTATTTCTATTTTAATTCCATCTAGTGCCATCTAGTTTAATCTAGTTTCATCTAGTTTAATCTAGTTTTAACTAGTTGCATCAAGTTTAATCCAGTTTCATCTAATTCCATCTAGTTACATCTTGTTTCAATTTAGTTTCATCTAAATGTAGTTTCCTCTAGTTCCATCTAGTTTCATCTAGTTTCATTTAGATTCATCTAGTTTCATCTAGTTCCATTTAGTTCCATTTTGTTCCATCTATTTCTATCAAGTTACATCTAGTTCCATCTAGTTTAATCTAGTTTCATTTAGTTTAATCTAGTTTAATCTAGTTTAAACTAGTTTCATCATGTTTCATCTAGTTTCATCTAATTCCATCTAGTTCCATCTTGTTTCAATCTAGTTTCATCTAGGTTCATCTAGTTTCCTCTAGTTCCATCTAGTTTCATCTAGCTTCATTAAGATTCATCCTGTTTCTTCTAGTTTCATACAGTTTCATCTAAATTTTCTAGTTCTATCTAGTTTCATCTAGTTTCATTTATTTCTATCTAGTTTCATATAGTTTCATCTAGTTTTATCTAGTTTCATCTAGTTCCATCTAGTTCCATCTAGTTCCATCTAGTTTAATCTAGTATCATCTAGTTTTATTTAGTTTTATCTGGTTACATTTGTTCCATTTAGTTCCATCTATATCTATCTAATTCCATCTAGTTCCATCTAGTTTAATTTAGTTTCATCTAGTTTAATCTAGTTCCATCTAGCTTAACCTAGTTTCATCTAGTTTTATCTAGTTTTATCTAGTTTCATTTATTTTTATCTAGTTTAATCTAGTTTCATCTAATTCCATCTTGTTCCATCTTTTTTCAATCTAGTTTCATCTAAATCTAGTTTCCTCTAGTTCCATCTAGTTTCATCTTGTTTCATCTAGTTTCATCTAATTCCATCTAGTTCCATCTTGTTTCAATCTAGTTTCATCTAAATCTAGTTTCCTCTAGTTCCATCTAGTTTCATCTAGTTTCATTAAAATTAATATAGTTTCATCTAGTTTCATCTAGTTTCATCCTGTTTCAATCTAGTTTCATCTTGTTCATCTAGTTTAATCTAGCTCCATCTAGTTCCATCTAGTTTCTTATATTTCTATCTAGTTTGATATATTTTCATCTAGCTCCATCTATTTTCATCTAGTTTCAATCTAGCTCCATCTATTTTCATCTTTTTTCATCTAGTTTCATCTAGCTCCATCTAGTTTCATCTAGCTCCATCTAGTTCAATCTAGTTTCATCAAGCTTTAACAATTCACCTCTATTTTCCTCTAGTTTTAACAAGTTTCTTCTAATTTGATCTGTTTCATTTAGTTTTGAACATTTTGTGAAAAATAATCTCAATTTCTCTGCTAAATATAAAATTTATTTCATACTTAGTTTGTAAAACTATACTGAGGAAAAATGCAGAGAATATGCAGAAGAAGTCCTACCTGACCTCCCTGATCTTCCTGACCTTCCTAACCTTTCTGACCTTCCTTCTAGTTATAGAGTGACATCAACGACGCACAAGAACCCTTTCAAACTTTTATCTGAGCATCAATGACTAGTTTCCTGTTTTTATCTATTTTATCGCATCTTTTCTAGAAAGTTCAGACGAGCAAGCATATTGCCAGGTTTAGCTTAATTTTATACAAAAACACACGGTATTGAATTTTAGAAAAAGTTTAAATACTTTTCGTGTTTTAATACGGTAACTTAAAATAACGCGGATGTCCCATAGTGATCCAAAGGTTTACAAATTTTTATAGCAGTCTGGTTTTAGTTGTCCCTCGTCATTCACAAATATGCCTTTTTCTTGGTTCGACGATAAAAAATAGGAGCTTGAGTTCTTGTTCCTGAAACCTAGACCCTGAGTAGTAATCCTATTAATCCGTTTATCCGAACCTGAATCCAGGTTGAACCCGCATACCATGGTATAGGAATAAATGTATCTGGTATTTTATATGGTGGGAAACTAGAAATTTTGTCTTCACTTACTTTTTGGTTCCCATGCACCTTATACTATATAACTAGATGGGCATTTATCAGCTATTGGTATTTAATCTACCATTTAGCAACCCTAAAATATTACAAAAACATATTTAATGAACACCGAGAAGTAGTTGAACCACATAGACGTGGTTGAACAACTTCTCCGACTCAAGTTGAAGAGAAACGGTTCAACTATAGCTACGTAGTTTTACAGCTTTTTGATATTTATAAAATCTGGTTCCTGAAAAGCCTTATTTTAGACGAGGAATAAAGAAAAAAATAAACATATGAGAAATCAACTTTAAACGGTTCAAAATATTGGTAGTGTGATGGGATTAAAGGACAAAACGAATTTCGTGGCTTTTTTAATTAAACAATTTCTCTCCATCATTGTTTGATTTGTTAAAGAATGTATTTTTTAAAAGTTTCTCCCTAGGCCCAAACCTTAATGTCATGTATATCTACATAAACCCTGTATTTATAGTTGCCTGGATTTTGAATACAAAATATCTTTATGTTTATCCGTCCTTGCTCCAGATGCAAAATCCCTGTGTCCGAGCCTAATACCTAGAGAATATTAAACTCTCAACACATATACATCTATCCGTCCTGGATCAGGCTATCAGAAATCTGTAGAACTTAAAGAATAGAAGTTTGAAAACCATTAATATACAATTTAATACGCTTGACAGTTTCAAATGAATTATTTATTAGTTTTCAGAATGAAACTGTTAATGTTCCAGTGATCTTAATTCTTAACTAAGCTGTTTAAAAGTAATTGAGTTTTTGCCACAAACTATGGTTTTTTAATCACTATTCCTTTTTAAACCCGATGTCGTAGACCTTTTAATATACTTTGCTTACATGCCTGTTTGTTTGTCTGTCTGACCGTTTGTATACAATAAACATTAAAACGGCTGAACCGATGAGGCCCAAATTTTTTGTGGGACCTCGAGTAACCCCAGGGAAGGTTTATGGATGGTCGAATTTTCACAAATTTGCATCAATCAAAATTCTAATTTTGAAATTTTAAAAAGCCATGAAATTTTTTAATATATTTTGATATTAATTATGTTAGATCAAATAATCTTCGTTTGAAAATTTAAAGGTGTAAACTATCAAGTTGCAAGGATATAGTTTGTGTGAAAAACTCAATTTGTTTTATTAAAGTTTTAAAAACATTGCCTAGCTACCTGAATTGAGATTCCGTATAGATCGTAAATTCTTAATTTGTTGGGATAGCAACTAATTTAACAGATTCCATTTTGAACCCGCATCCCCCCATTTCAAACTTCGTGATTGTCTCATATTTATTGGAACCACCTGTAGCCTGAACCTGTCTAAACCAAACCAACTCTGTAATCTAGGCCGGGGTGAGAGAACCTGGTGTAATTATGTAATTATCTAGACGAGTGTTTAAAATTACTAATTATCCCACCTTTATAATTAGCAGCAATTAAACGATTTTACAGAGTAATTCATGTTCAGGGTTTCATTACATTTAAAATATATACGAGATTAAGAAAAATAAGGTTTTATTTTAAGTTCTCTTCAAAAACACATTAAATATTGTAAAAACACATAAAATATTGTTAAAACACATTAAATATTGTAAAAAACATAAAATATTGTAAAAACACATTAAATATTGTAAAACACATAAAATATTGTAAAAACACATTAAATATTGTATAATTAACAAAAGTAGTGAAAATAATTTTAAAAATTGTGTCGAACACAACCTTTAATGGTACATAAACATTTAAAATGTTACAATCAACGAACTAAAATTGTGTTTTGAAGAACTGCGGTTACTCTGGGGGTTTTCAAATGGTATTTACATGATACTTTTTATAGAACAATCAGATCTGCACTGAAGTAGTGAAAAAATTCAAACATTTTCTTAATAACTCTTTTAAACAACTGCTTTCCCCTCTGATTTTAAAGTTAGCTGGATATATTTCCAACAACTAATGAGGAGTAGGAAAAACACAAATCATTTTGCATCATATAAATTATATATATTACATAAATATATATATATGCATAATATATATATATGTATATATGTATATACAGAGCAATAAAAAGGAAAAATAATCTGTGCACTATATCAGATATATATATATATATATGGATCTCCGATCATAACTCATTAACCCCTGGTTCGATTTGCCTCAAATTTTAATTTTCTTGATTATTATTAAAATTCTAAGTTGTGTGTGTTGACTTTTATAGGGATAACTCTAGGCAAACTTGGGTTCCCGAGCTAAAATATGATGTATGTTTTATTCTGGAGGATATATATTTTATCATATTGTAGACAGATGGGTATGTTGAGTAGTGTGCCTGGTCTGCCTGATGACCTGGAAGGTATGCAGGCAGATGAAGGAGAGCAGACGGGAGTCTGCCTTAATATGCCTGGACTCATTGATCAACAGAAGAAGATGTGTACAAAATGGCCGGAAACAGTACAGTAAGTTTAACAATTATAGAAACTTTTCAAAACAAAGAAAGTAAAAGAAATCCATTTGTTCTATTTTTTGTATCCATCTGCTCCTCCTTTTGCATCCATCTTTTCCTCCATTTGTATCCATCTACTCCTCCCTTTGTATCCAACTACTCCTCCCGTTGTGTTTGATACAAATCTAATTTTCCTTCTCTAACTGACAATATTCCCTTTGACTCGGATCTAAAGTTTTCCTAATCTCATCAAACTCCTTCTCTTTCTGCTCCTGTTCATGACATCATTTAATAATATTATTCAAGAATTTAATTTCAAGAATAGTTTCAGCGTGTTCTACTGGTTTCCGATACACGTCGAGAGAAGAGAGGTTTCAGTTCTCCGGGAACGGAATTTATAGGACAAGATTAAGATTGAGATTGAATAAATCCTGTTTCAGATCTGTTCCGTTTGGTACTAAACAGGGTCTGATAGAGTGTGAATATCAGTTTCGTCGAGATAGATGGAACTGTACAGACAATAGATCTCCTCAGGTTCTACAGTCTACCCTGGAGAGAGGTAACCAGGATATTAATATCCGAGAAGAGATAAGGAGAGTAGGATAAGGACGGAGAGAGGAGAGGGGTTGATTATTAATTAGAAGGGGAAATATGACAGGCACAGACGAGAAGGGCTGAATGTACTTAAATAAGTTAAGTGGGAAAATGAGAAATGACACAAAATAAATTTAAAACCTTAATTTATTTCAAAATGTATGATTGACCCCTTCTCTCTCCTATCTGCTCCTCTCCGACCTAGTGTTGGATAAAACGAGAAGATAATTGTGTATTCTACACAGGTTTCAACCAATATATTTCCACTTAAACATATTTAAACCCTGACCATTCAACAATCCAATATTGTAAATCATACTCAACCCCCCCCCCTTCACCCTCTCCCGACCATTAAATAAAATTACCAAATTTATTTATATAATCAATCATCATTTTCTTCGGGCGCGGGTTATTGTGTTTTTTTAGTCTCAAAGCTAGTCTACAGAATTAGCCTCAAAATATAAGACTTTAATGACGACCTATAACTCTTTAATGACGACCTATAACTCTTTAATGACGACCTATAACTCTTTAATGACGACCTATAACTCTTTAATGACGATCTATAACTCTTTAATGACGACCTATAACTCTTTAAAATCTGACCAATTAAAGGTTGTATTGGATGTTCTGTTTAAAATATTTCATTTACTGAAACACAACAAGATGATTTGAGAATGAAGAAAGCAAGCTTATACCTGGAAAGAACCATAACAGTGACATGAAAAAAAGATAAATTCCGTAAAACCGCCTTTAAAGGAACTGAGTTTTTCTAATCCCTATATCTTTGCAACTTGATTGTTGAAACCTATTATAATTCAAACTTAGACTTTTTGATCTAACATAATTCAAAGTTTGAAATATTAAAGGTCTTCGACATAGGGTTGCCAAGAAAAAGGAATTGAAAGATTAGAGTTAGTGGCAAAAAATAATTTCCTTTCATCCTTGGAGACTTGTCCAGTATTTATGGGATTGTGTGGTTAATATGGTTTCTAAACTAAATATATATCTCTCTTAGTTCTAAAGAACCTGTGTTCCTGTACGCATTTACAAGTGCTGGTGTGGTTCATGTGGTTACTAAACTAAATATATATATCTAGGTTCTAAAGAAACTGCGTTTCTGTACGCAGTTTCTAGTGCTGGTGTGGTTCATGTTGTTGCTGAACTAGATATATATATCTAGGTTCTAAAGAAACTGTCTTTCTTTACCTAGTTACAAGGGCTGTTCTGGTTCATGTGGTTGCTAAACTAAATATATATATCTAGGTTCTAAAGAAACTGTGTTTCTTTACCTAGTTACAAGTTCTGATGGTGTGGTTCATGTGGATACTAAACTAAATATATATATCTAGGTTCTAAAGAAACTGTGTTCCTATACGTAGTTACAAGTGCTGGTGTGGTTCATGTGGTTACTAAACTAAATATATATATCTAGGTTCTAAAGAAACTGCGTTTCTGTACGCAGTTACTAGTGCTGGTGTGGTTCATGTGGTTGCTAAGGCCTGTAGTTCTGGAAACCTGACAGAGTGCAACTGTGACCTGCAAGGAGGAGATACTCCTGAAGGATGGAAGTGGGGTGGTTGCAGGTAATATCAAATCTATTTCTGCCTTGCCAGTGTTACCTTTGACCTATACCGGCATGATTTCTCTATTTTCTCATTTGAACCCATTTTCATATTCCTTTTTAAACTGTTCATTTATGTTTGTTTTTTTCTTTGAGCTACTTTTAGAAAAAATAATGAGATATGTTGGAAGCTCCAAGCTAAGTGTTACGTGTAAAAAAATCTTCTGTGTCCAATCCAACATTAGCTGAACATAAATAGCTCTATTTGGTTCAGCGTGGCGTGCATTTGTGCAGAAAACCATATTGAATTGATCGAAGGCAGAGAAATTCAATTTTGCTCAGATTTCCAAAATTATTCTAAAAACTAAAATTATTCTCTTGGAAAAGTTTTCTTAGATATAAGATATTGCTAGACGATGCAAAGGAGAAATACAAGTAAGAAGGGGGGATATGATTTTTTTAAAACTCAACGTATTATAACAGATTTAGAGCTTAAAATCAAATCAAATCAATTATTTCTGCGGAAACAATTTTAAAATTAAAATTACGAATAAAATATATAAGATGTAAAGAGAAAAAAGATGAATTTTAGCTATTTGTTAAGATGAAAGGATATTTCTGTAGGATAATTCAAGGGAAATAAAGTTTTCAATCAAATATAGACATCTAGGTCCTTAGCCTGACTTCAATATATCCTATATTCAAACAAAACAAACATGTAGATACTACTTTACTAAAGTAGAAGTATTCCCCTTTATTCAGAGCCCACTTCCCCCCTCCCTGCCCTAGTAGACTGATTTCCTGTCAATCATTCCTTTTTTCCCTGCCACAGACTGATTTCCATTTAATCCGTTGCTTGTCCCCCTGCAGTACACTGAGTTTCTTTCAATTTGCTCCCTTACCTACCGTAAAATCTTTTTTTTTGCATTTTTTTCTCTTCCTGCGGTAGACTGATTTCCTTTTGTTCAGCTACATCCCCTGCAAGACTTCCTTTTAAATCAGCTCCCATCCCTGTCGTAAACTGATTTTCTCATTTCTCTTCTTGCATTAGACTGATTTCCATTTAACAAGCCCCTTACTGCAGTAGACTGATTTCCAATTTCCATTAAACATAAAATAATATTATATCCTGTATTAGAGTCCAGTTTTTATTGATGTAAACAATGCTCATTAATATTCTATAGATTTGCTGAACGTATATAAGTACAACATTACAATTCTGTCAGTAATATCTGATATTTCATTTATTTATTATTAATTGTAATTAGATATATTATATCTGTATCTAAACTCATGGTACTGGCAATTACTGGGTATTATTACACATTAATACTGATTATTTTCCTATAATTTATTGCACTAAGAAAACTAGCGACCGACACAAGAAATAGAACGGTAATACATTGGATAGAAGCAATAATATCATAATTGATAAGTAATCTATACAACATACAATTAGTAAAAGCAGTTCATTTTTGCATTTTGATATACAATAAAATTTGATTATATTTTGTTTTAACTGAACATTTTCTTCATTCTCCTTAATCCATCCTATTCATTTTTTGGGCTCATCAAACTTTTATTTATCATAATTTTCATCATATTCATCCTACTGCTTTATGCTGCAATTAACTCAATCCATCCTACTCTAAACTAAATCCATTCTACTCTAAACTCTTCTTATCCTACTCTTAACACACTCTATCCTGCTCTATACTCCCTCGATCCTACTCTAAACTCTCTCTATCCTGCTCCAAACTCCCTTGATCCTAATCTAAATTTCCTCTATCCTGCTCTAAACTCCCTCTGAACTCCTTCTTTCTTACTTTAAACTCCCTCTGTTGTACTCTAAACTCCCTCTTTCCTTCACTAATTTCTCTCTATTCTACTCTAAACTCATCCATTCTAGTCTAAACTCCCTCTTTAATACTCTAAACTCCATTTATCCTACTCTAAACTCTCTCTATTCTACTCTAAACGCCATTTATCCTACTTTAAACTCCCATATTCATTCTAAACTCCCTCTATCCTACTTTAAACTCCCTTTATTTTACTCTATATTCCCTCTATCCTACTCAAAACTCCCTCTATTCTACTCTAAACTCCCTCTATCCTACTTTAAACTCTATCTATCCTACTCTCCCTCTATTTTACCCTTAACTCTATCTATCATACTCTAAACTCTCTCTATCCTAATGTAAACTTCCTCTATTCGACTCTAAACTGTCTCTATCTAATCTAAACTCCCTTTATCCTACTCTAAACTCCTTTTATTCTACTCTAAACTCTCTCTATCCTACTCAAAACTCCCTCTATTCTACTCTAAACTCCCTCTATCCTACTTTAAACTCTATCTATCCTACTCTCCCTCTATTTTACCCTTAACTCTATCTATCATACTCTAAACTCTCTCTATCCTAATGTAAACTCCCTCTATTCTACTCTAAACTCCCTCTATCTAATCTAAACTCCCTTTATCCTACTCTAAACTCCTTTTATTCTACTCTAAACTCTCTCTATCCTACTCAAAACTCCCTCTATTCTACTCTAAACTCCCTCTATCCTACTTTAAACTCTCTCTATCCTGCTCTAAATTCCATTTTACTCTAAAATTCCTTTATCATTCTCTAAACTCATCCATCTTACTCTAAAATCCCTTTATCATACTCTAAACTCCATCCATCCATCTCTATAAACTTCATATTTCCATCCTACTCTGAGCTTAATTCATCCTACTCTTTAAACCTCATTAATCCATCCTAATCTGAACTATATCCATCCTACTCTGAGCTTCATTCATCCTACTTTACCAAATTAGTCTCTCATCAACTCCCACACATATCAATTAAGAGTTAAGATGAAATGATAATAAAACCTGAGTGGAGATTTCAGGTCGATTACCTTCAGACATTCTCCATTTATAAATTAATATTAGTATTTATGGATCGTTGGATAACAAGTAGGGATAGTCATGAAAACTTATCTTAAAATAGATAAAGCTTAAAAAAAATTGAACCCCGGAGAATATAAATATTGCCTGTAGTCCAAGGTTTATACGAATAAGGAAATTATTGATCTAATTCATGTTTATGAGGTTTAAAAAAATAAATTTTTTCATCAAAGTGATAGTTTTTCTGTTAAAAAAATCAAACTTATTGTAAAAACTGTTTTGAATGTTAAATCACAAAGCCTGCGTTTCTTTGATTCTTGACCTATCAAATATTCCTAATTGTAACCTGCGGACTATGGTTTGATCTCTCCAGTATGAATTGGTTTCCTAGAAACCAGTACATAAACACAGGGTTAGATAAAACAAACCCTTATTTTAATGATTCAACACAATCTTACTAACTTATGCCATTCCATTATACCATACAAGCATAGTAGATCTTAAACCTCTCTAGAAATCTCTAAGTTTTAGGTTGAGTGCGAACCCGGAGAAATTTGTGTCCAGGTTGTAAATATTTCCAAACAAGAGATATTGCTGGTCCTGGTCCAACTAGTTAAATGTCCCCGTTTTAATAGATCTGCCCATATCTGTAAATATCTGAAAGTGGTCAGGTGTGAAATTAAAGGTTTTAAACCTTCCTGTTCACACTACTAGGTCCTGTACTCATACAGTTAACCAGTATACAGGGGGTTTAATTATTCTTAGGACTAGAAGATTTAATTTCACTGTTAGGAAAGGGTAGGACTAGAAGATTCAGTCGTTGTTGGAGAATATTTAATCACTGTTAGGAAAGAAAAGGAAGTTTGTTAGGAAAGTGGTTCGAAGGTTTAATCTCTATGCGGAAAGGATCGGAAGATTTACTTTCTATGAGGAAAAGATTGGAAGGTTTAATCGCTATGAGAGAAGAATTGGAAGGTCTAATCTTTATAAGTGAAGGATTGGTAGGTTCCATCGTAATGTGTGAAAGCTTGGAAGGTTTAGTTATCATAAGGAAAGGATTGAAAGATGTATTTGGAATGAGGGAAGGATTGTAAGATGTATTTGGAATGAGGGAAGGATTGTAAGATGTATTTGGAACGAGGGAAGTATTGAATGGTTTACATGACAGTCAGGAAGGATAATCACTATCAAGAAAAAAAGTTAAGAATTGAAAAATAAAAGATTGTGGAATACATATACAATTTGCAACAAGGAAAGTATAATAATATCGTAACAATACCAAGTATAACTATAATATTTAGGAAGTTTTAGTTTCAATTAGTTCTTGATAATACAGGGTTACCCACAAAGGATGAGACTTCAAAGAAGATTTTTATGTTGTCTGTTTCCATACATTTATTATTTCCTGGAACTGTAAACTGTAAACTGTTTCTTTCTTTGCTAAATCGTTAAATAAGCCATTTAAAGACATTATTCAGGGCTGCGAACATAAAACAATCCCATTTTAAAATTTCAAGTCGTCTATAAAGTGTTATCCTCTGGGTACCCCGGTATATCAAGCTGGAAGCGAAATGGCGGTTTCTTTATTGAAAAGTATATGACCAAGTGAGAAGATATTTTAATCTGTATATTTTGTTCTAGTGACAACCTAAAATACGGGATCAAGTTTGCCAGGAAGTTTCTGGATGCTCCGGACCGAAGGATGGTTCGAAAGAAAGGAGATATTAGAAACCTAATGAACCTGCATAATAATGAGGCTGGAAGACGGGTCAGTTTTCTCATTATCTATAGTTTTGTCATTTAAATTGGGGACGTGAAAACTCTAAAGTTAATAAAAGCAAAATTAGATGTTGAAATATTTTAATTTCTTTCTTTCATTTTAGATTTATGTTATACTTTATTTTACAGTCAATTTCATATTGCTTATTTATACATTCTAACTCTGAGAAACATGTGTAAGAGGTAAGGTACAATGTTACCCACAAAGAATGAGCATTTAATGACAACCTAAGACTCTAAGAATATAACGAACTATAAGGCGTAATATGGGTTTCTGCATTGCTTGCATGTAGTTTTTAAGAAATAAACTGTATGGTTGAAAAAAAACCAAGAATGTAGGAATAAAACTGGGTCAATTTTGTATATCGTCTCTGAAGTCACATCCTGTAGTTTAGTTGTGATCCGAAGTTGAAGAATCAGCGAATTATGTGTTTTTTGAAATAGGTGAACAATCCCTTTAAGGGGAATGTTAGCGTATTTACAAGTGACCCTTCATGCAAAGATGACAACGCCCGATTTACAATGGTACCCTAGAAGCCCTAATGTGGAAGATATACCGTGGTTTTTTATGGCTTGAAAAGCGTTTATTACCGCTAGTTTCTACATTGCTCCTTATAAACAAAAATGCGCAAGTCGCTTTCGCAGAGAAATCACAAAAAAATAAACAGATTGAAGAAACGAAATTATTGATACGTAATTCAAATCAGACAAAGGTTTCAAGGGTACCGTTGTTTCTTGGGAATTGCCATGTCTTTGCATGGAGGGTCACTTGACATTGCGCTTACAGTCCCTTTAACAAGGTTTTGTTTTGCATGTTTCCATAAATATATTCTTGTATAGGCTATCGCGAAGCTGATGTTATTGAAGTGTCGATGCCATGGTGTATCCGGGAGTTGTGAGTTTAAAACCTGCTGGAGAAGTATTCCACAGTTTGCGGAGATCGGAGATTATTTAAAGGAGAAATACGATAAATCAGCTGTACAGGTCATTTTACAATCATTTTGATTAAATACGATAAATCAGCAGTACAGGTCATTTTACAATCATTTTAATTAAATACGATAAATCAGCTGTACAGGTAATTTTACAATCATTTTTATCAAATACGAAAAATCAGCTGAGCAGGTCATTTTACAATCATTTTAATCAAATACGATAAATCAGCTGTACAGGTCATTTTACAATCATTTTAATTAAATACGATAAATCAGCTGTACAGGTCATTTTACAATAATTTTAATTAAATACGATAAATCAGCTGTACAGGTCATTTTACAATCATTTTAATCAAATACACTAATCAGCTGTAAAGGTCATTTTACAATTATTTAAATTAAATACGATAAATCAGCTGTACCATTTTACAATCATTTTATTAACTACGATAAATCAGCTGTAAAGTCATTTTACAACCATTTTAATTAAATACGATAAAGGTACAGGTCATTTTACAATCATTTTAATAAAAAAAATTCATTTGACATTTGCAGGTCGGATTAGACGCAAGTTATGAATTATGAAAAACCATAATAAATAGTCTATTAAATACGATAAATCAGCTGTACAGGTCATTTTACAATAATTTTAATTAAATACGATAAATCAGCTGTACAGGTCATTTTACAATCATTTTAATAGAATACGATAAATCAGCTGTACAGGTCATTTTACAATAATTTTAATAGAATACGATAAATCAGCTGTACAGGTCATTTTACAATCATTTTAATCAAATACGATAAATCAGCTGTACAGGTCATTTTACAATCATTTTAATAAAATACGATAAATCAGCTGTACTGAGATGGAATTTAAAGAATTTGAGCCGCGGTTTAAATCCGCAAAAACCCGGTTTGAGTTAAGCGCCGGCTAAAATCTTGATACATTTGATACAATTTTAAGTGGAACCAACCATATTTAAACCGCGGCTTAAATTTAAACCGCCGCTCAAATTCTTTAAATTCGGCCTCAGGTCATTTTACAAAAATTATAATAAAATAGATTCATTTGACATTTTCTGGTCGGATTAGACGCAAGTCATGAATTAAAAAAAAACATAATAAATAGTCTCTAAAAAGTATTTTTTCCAACGTTTTGAGTATTACAGATAAATTTCAATAAGCGGAGTTTAACATTTTCTTCATATAGGTTTCAAATGAGCTGGATGAATCTCCGGAGAGGGACAGATACAGGAGAGGAACATCCGGGGGACCAGGTAAACTCTCTTCTTTAAATATTAATTATTCCATAAAATAGAGTTTAAGTGAGTGACCGTCAATGTATGGTAGTTGCAGTATTACCGAGACATTTTTTAGGATTCATTTGAGACCCATGAGACTTGTTTACGGTGCATATTTGTATAGCAAGAGCGCAAATTCAATCTATAAAATCCTCATAGATTGTCCATTTTGGAGGGATGATTTTGAGAACTGGTTTTATTTAAATTATTCAATAACACCAACGATAAAAGTAACAAAAAATTCTACAGTAAACTAACAAGTTGTTTAGGAACAGCTGTTGAGAAAATTAAAATCAACTCTTATCATCGAAAATAAGTAATCTTATTCAGTTATTGGTTTCTGAAATGTCTAATTGTTCAGAACCGTTTTCTGTAGATTTCCAGCAATTTTAAATGAAAAGAAGACAACATTTGCAGAATTTAAAGAAATCTGCGAACAAATTCTTAAAGAATTAGAAAATCAATATAAAGATAAAAACAAACAATAGATTTTATCATTGATTTATTGACAAATTTCTAATGATAAATATGTTCCTAAACATCTAATTAGTTTACTGTAGAAATTTCGTAAAATTTTTCTTCGTCGTTTTTGGATAATTTTTATAAAACCGATTCTCAAAATCATCCCTCCAAAATGACAATCAATGAGGATTTTAAATATTGAATTTGCGCTCTTGCTGAACAAATATGCACCGTAAAAACGACAGCTAGGTCTGATAGTATCCTAGTATCCCAGTATCCTATTATCCTAAACTGTTCTATGTTCTCAACCTAGTATTCTAGTATCCTAGTTTCCTAGTATCATATTATCCTTACCTGCTGCTGCTCTATGTTCTCAACCTAGTATCATAGTATCCTAGTATCCTATTATCATAAACCGTTGTTCTATCTTCTCAACCTAGTATCCTATTATCCTAGTATACTATTATCATAAACTGCTGTTCTATGTTCTCAACCTAGTATTCTAGTATCTTAGTATCCTATTATCCTAAAATGCTGTTCTATGTTCTCAACCTAGTATCCTAGTATCCTAGTATCCTATTATCCTAAACTGCTGTTCTATGTTCTCTACCTAGTATTCTAGTATCCCAGTATCCTTTTATCCTAAACTACTGTTCTAGATTCTCTACCTGTGTATAAACTACTGTTCTAGGTTCTCTACCTGTGTATAAACTACTGTTGTAGGTTCTCTACCTGTGAGTAAGAAATCATTAGTGTATATCCAGCCTAGCCCAGATTACTGTCAGGATGATCCTAAGGTTAGAACAAAAATATTTATATTTTTTTATAATTTCTCATTCGACTTTTGTATGTATTGTAACTAGATCTGCCCTAACTTGTCTATCATCTATCCCCTTCCCCCCTCCCTCTCCTCTATTCATATACAATTTTACTTTTGTATCCTATGCTCCTGGTTATAAAGTCTACTTGAACCATCAAAAATATAAGAAAAATTTAAATTTGTTTAGTCTTTATCCATTTAAGCTATTTTAATCCAATGTTGCTACAATATCTTCTCTATCCAACTGATCACAAACCTAAACCTAAATTTAAACTTAATCCTATAAAAAGTTAAAATGTTCACACCCAGACCAAGTTAGTTGAAAGAATTAAACAAAACGTTTATTTCCAAAGGGACTGTACACTAAATTTTATGTTAATCTCTTATGAGAGACGCATCTTTAAAACACCTCCTTTTACTCTTATCTTGATTTATGTAATAATGTCCTATAGTCTCAAAATTAGCAAAAATTAGAAAAGTTACAAAAAAATCGGCCTACCACTCAAAGATAAAAGGGAGTGCTCGCGAAAAATGGAAGGGGGGATATGCTGATCCCGAATTAAATTCGATATCGATCGCTATTAATTTTAGTTCTATCTCTTGCGTTTAAGAAGAAAATGGTTTAAAATGACTCAAAACGAAAATTCGGGATCAGTTTAATTTTAATTTTTTTTTATTTTTTGCAAACACCCCCTTTACAATTTTTTCAAATGCAGAAATGCAGCACAATTTCATCATAGAAACCCCTCTTTAATTCTGAATTGTTGATCTAGTTTAAATTCATTACCATGGACTATAGGATGAACATGGACATGAAAACCGTAAAATTAACTATACTATCGAAGTGTCTGTATTGAAATCTTTTCAATTCAATTTCGATCTTTCATTCAAAAACTGTAAAAAATTGCGTCTACTATGTTATTTGCCTCTTTATTTAAAAAAAAACGAAAAAACTGCATTTAAGGGATGAAAATAAGATCTAAATTTAAGACTCACTGGACTTTAACTAAGACCTCTAGTTTAACTAGGACCTCTAGTTTAACTAGGAACTCTAGTTTAAAAAAGACATCTAGTTTAACTAGGACCTCTATGTTTAACTAGAACCTCTAGTTTAACTAGGACCTCTAGTTTAACTAAGACCTCTAGTTTAACTAGGACCTCTAGTTTAACCAGGACTTCTAGTTTAACTAGGACCTCTAGTTTAACTAAGGCCTCTAGTTTAACTAGGACCTCTAGTTTAAAAAAGACCTCTAGTTTAACTAGGACCTCTATGTTTAACTAGGACTTCTAGTTTAACTAGGACCTCTAGTTCAACCAGGACCTCTAGTTTAACTAGGAACTCTAGTTTAAAAAAGACCTCTAGTTTAACTAGGAACTCTATGTTTAACTAGGACTTCTAGTTTAACTAGGACCTCTAGTTCAACCAGGACCTTTAGTTTAAGAAAGACCTCTAGTTTAACTAGGACCTCTAGTTAAAAAAGGACCTCCAGTTTAACTAGGAACTCTAGTTTAACTAGGAGCTCTAGTTCAACCAGAGCTAAAAACTTTAGAATGGGATATCCTTAATCCCGATCAGTTAATTAATCTGGAGTTTAATAACAAGAGAATAACAAGCATTATTTAATCTTAAGATTAAGAAAAAGAGTGGATCAAGCATTAATCCCCATATCCACCATTCAAAAGTTCCCAGCTCTGGACCTCTAGTTTAACAAGGAACTCTAGTTTAACTAGGAACTATAGTTTAACTAGAACCCCTAGTTTAACTAGGACCTCTAGTTTAACCAGGACCTCTAGTTTAACCAGGACCTCTAGTTTAACCAGGACCTCTAGTTTAACAAGGACCTCTAGTTTAACTAGGACTTCTAGTTTAACTAGGACCTTTAGTTTAACCAGAACCTCTAGTTTAACTAGGACCTCTAGTTTAACTAGGAACTCTAGTTTAACTAGGAACTCTAGTTTAACTAGGACTTCTAGTTTAACTAGGACCTTTAGTTTAACCAGAACCTCTAGTTTAACTAGGAACTCTAGTTTAACTAGGACCTCTAGTTTAACTAGGAACTCTACCATAAAAACCACAGGAAAATGTCTAAAATGGTTTCTTTAATAGTTTGTCTTATAGACGAATATTTTGAATTTTAAATCTGAAGAATCTGAGAACAAGACAGCAGATATTATCTGTTTTCGTTAGTTTCACTTCTCCAGGTCTCTAGGGTACAGTAAACATACTTCCTTGCTTTACATACCTGCTCAGTTGGGTTTAGATTCAGATGCGTTTAAGGATTATATATGTTTTATCATAAACATTATTTAAATCATGGAAATGTCTCTACATTTGTATTAAACTAAAACAAAACATGTCTATTGTAAAGCCTCGGTAAAATCTAATGATTCTTTAACGACAAATACCTGGGTACCTGGTGTAAGTATATGAAAACTATAACTTGTATCCTGTATAGGCTGGAGTAGTGGGTACCTAGAGTCTATGTAAGTATATGAAAACTATAACTTGTATCCTGTATAGGCTGGAGTAGTGGGTACCTAGAGTCTAGTAGAATATATGAGAACTATAACCTATATATCCTGTTTAGGCTGGAGTTGTGGGTACCTAGAGTAGAGTATATGAAAACTATAACTTGTATCCTGTATAGGCTGGAGTAGTGGGTACCTAGAGTAGAATATATGAGAACTATAACCTGTATCCTGTATAGGCTGGAGTAGTGGGTACCTGGAGTAGAATATATGAGAACTATAACTTGTATCCTATATAGTCTGGAGTAGTGGGTACCTAGAGTAGAATATAAGAGAACTATAACCTGTATCCTATATAGTCTGGAGTAGTGGGTACCTGGAGTAGAATATAGGAGAACTATAAACTGTATCCTGTATAGGCTGGAGTAGTGGGTACCTGGAATAGAATATATGAAAACTATAACTTGTATCCTATATAGTCTGGAGTAGTGGTACCTAGAGTAGAATATATGAGAACTATAACCTGTATCCTGTATAGTCTGGAGTTGTGGGTACCTAGAGTAGAATATATGAGAACTATAACCTGTATCCTGTATAGTCTGGAGTAGTGGGTACCTTGAGTAGAATATATGAGAACCATAACCTGTATCCTGTATAGGCTGGAGTAGTGGGTACCCGAGGAAGAAGGTGTGAGAAGAAATCTCGAGGACGAGACGGATGTGGATTTCTCTGTTGTGGACGAGGGTTTGATACTGAAGTTATTGTGGAATATGAAAGATGCAGGTTTGTTATCATCTAGATTTACTAAATCATCTCTAACAATGACTAATACTTCAAAAAAATAAACTTCAAATACTTGTTTAGATGTAAATTTGTCTGGTGCTGTAGAGTTGACTGTCAGCAGTGTAAAAGAAAGAAATATATTCACACTTGTAAATAAACTCATTCTTAATAAACATTTTATACAAAATATTGTTAACAACATTGTTAGACGAAAATTTAACATTTTGATCCTAATATCGAACCATCGAAATCATTGTGAAATTACGATCATTTTGATAGAAATCACGAACAGAATGATAAAGGAACTGAGTTTTTGCCTCAAACTCAAATATCTTAATCCCCAAATTTTTGCAACCTTTGATATTTAGAACTCATTCCTTTGTGAGATATCTCAAATATTCTCTTCGAAATTATGGACACAATGATTATAGTTATCTCACAAAAAGAAATTTATTTTTCCCCACAAACTCAAATTTTCTAATCCCCATATCTTTTCAATCTAATGGTGCACATCTTTGATATCTAAGACTTAGCCTATTAAATCTGACCGAATTCATAGAATGGCATATCAAAGGTCTAAGACATCGGGTTACAAAGATATAAGGATAAGAAAATCAGAGTTTGTGGTAAAAACTAAATTCCTTTAAAAGTAAATGAAAAGGATTTGTTTAAACAAATAAAATATTTGTTTTAAAAGAGGACGGGGAGGGGTAAGCTACCGACAATGTTAAGTCATTTTGATTTCATTTTTTATTCATGATGTTTGGACTTTAGTTGATTTTGGTTTGATCAATCCTTCTCCAGGTTCAAGCAATTAATTGGTTCCGCGATTAAGTAGATAAATGTTGATTCCCAGCGGGTTTCCTTAATCAGGGTATAAATGAATACAGTGTACAGGGTTAGGTTAGGTTTGATCTCTAGGTTGGGTCTAGGTACGGAGACAAATTTACTGACTGAGAATGATAAGGGATAAATAATGAGGTTGAAGAATAAAAACCCTGTCACTGCTCCTACTCAGTTCAAAGATAAGATAAGGTTAAAAACTACTAGAATCCATCTAAACTCGTTCTTTCAACCAAACCAAACCAATCTGGCTCAATTTAAGTATTTACAAATGTTAGAACAAAAACTGTTTTAGTAAAAATCTAGATATTAAAATGATAAGCTCTATTGTTGTCAGTAACTGAACCTCTACCTCAAACTCTAATTTTGTAATACCTATAATTTTGAAACCTTTGATATTTCCAACTTGACTATGTAATCTATAGCAGAATACATAGTTGGAAACATCAAAGGTCTACGACGTCAGGTTGTAAAGATACACACGTCTGACAAAACAATTATGTTGGATAATGTTAAACCTAAAAGATATAATTATATCTATTGATGAAAATATCGCTTTTGTCGTTCTGTTAAGAAAATAACAAGAGTATTTTGATGGTCAGTTAATATCGATGTTTGTGTCAGAAAACTGTCCACACATTTAAGAAAACAAACCACTCTCAGCTTATTGCTTTCAAGATTTTCAGGGTTTAAATGAGTTAAATGAGAAATATTTCATTCCAGTATTTAAATATTTTTTTTGCTTTATTTGGATTTATCCGTTAACTTTGTGCCCTAACTTAACACCATTAAAAAAACCAATCAATTGAAAAAGTACAAATAAAGAATAATTTATGATAAAGAACTTTCACGTTGTAAACGAACCACAAAGATCAACCAAAAAATAGCTTTCACTAGTGCCATAGAGATTTTATGGACTGTAAATACTTCATATAGTCCTACAAATATTCAGTATAGGAAATATAAAGAAAGAGCTTCTAAATGATAAATAAAGATCTACTAACATCATAAATACACAATAACGGAACTATAAGACTAAATGGACCAAAAAGACCATTCAAACATGAAAATTATAGAATAAAGCCCTTAAAACACTATAAATATACACTGGACACATAAAGAGCATTTAAATGGACAAAAAACGTCTAAAAAGTCCGTTAAGGGCTACAAGAATCTTAATGAAGATTGACAGTCCCACAAAGACCTAACGCATCAATAATTTAAACTATAAAGAGCATCTAAAGAGCATCTAAATGGAAAAAAAACGTCTAAAAAGTCCGTAAAGAGCTACAAGAATCTTGATAAAGTTTGACAGTCCCACAAAGGCCTAACGCATCAATAATTTAAACTATAAAAACTATGAAAAGCTTTTTAAGACCTCTTTTATTACCACTATAAATATAGTCCACAGACCAGAACGATCTCCTAAAAGAGACAGAAAGAGCTACTCCAGGAACTGAAAAGAGCGCTAGAATGGATCTGAAAATATGCTAAAATAAGCATGCATGAAACTATAAAAAAGTTCCTAAATGGATGATATTGTGTGCCAATTTTGGTTTTAGAATTATCTATAATAAAGCAAATATATAAGAGGAATAAGGTTTATCATTTTATAACAGTATTTAACTTTCTTTTACAGCTCCTGTATCACTAACTCTTATCAAATTCAACCTGAACCTTCTTTATTCTACTTTTAACCTAACCGTCTCTTTCAATTCCTGTCAACCCGACCCAGTTTTCCCTCTCCTTAAACTCTTTTTTATTTTATTCTGAAAACCGATGCTGCATTTTATATATAGTATATAATCCCCATTCATACCAATCCTTTAATTTCTTTTATCATTCTACGATCCTTCTCTTTATCTTCTTATTCAACCCAGCCCTGCTCTTGCTCTATCCGTTCAACCAACCCATTTTCTTTTTAACCCAACCCTTCTCTTTATCTCCTTATTCAAACCCAGCCCTGCTCTTGCTCTATCTGTTTAACCCAACCCTTCGCTTTATCTCCTTATTCAACCCAACTCTTCTCTTTATCTCCTTATTTGACCCAACCCTTCTCTTTCTCTTCCAATTCAACCCAACCCTTCTCTTTCTCTTCCCATTCAACTCAACCACACATTTCTCCGTTTCTTCTTCATCCCAAGCCCTCTCTTCCCACAAACTCAAACCTATCTATCTAATATCTAAACCGCCTTTTGATCCGCTGGAACCCAAACCGTTCTCCTATTCCCGAATCTAAAGGTTGGAATTTAAATCCCGGATTAGTGTATAATATTTGATGTAAGGTTGGCAGATTAAATATAATGCATTTACAACTCTGCCCAAATAAAACAGGATTACAGTAAACAAGAACATGAGTTTAAAATGTGGTAAAACTTTATAAAACACTAGCTTGGGACCACAGCGTTGCCCAGGGTATACATAGTTCCTTCCTTCAATAACCCGCTCTTGGTCTTAAATTACGATTCTAGCTATTTTTCACTGTAAAAATAGACCCACTCATTTCCGTGGTTCTCCCCAATCTAAATTTGAGACAAATCGGTCAAGGGGTTCATGAGTTATGATCGAACATACAAAAAGAAAAACAAAGATTACTACTTTAGATATAAATTTATTAAAAACGTATTCAATTACATAAAAGTTTGGTAAAAATAGTAAGGTATTTGTCATTCGAAAATTTTTGACCATCATCCTTAATTGATAAACGAACTTCTATCAGAAAGGAGTAAAAAAATAACGCTATAAATAAAACAATTAAAAAATATTTATAACTCACCAAAAATGTAACAATTTTTTCTACAAATATTAAAACCAATAATCCAACCACTTTTCAATAAAAATCCTTGTCATATCTGAACCACAAATCTGACCATATTTCTGAACCACAAATCTGACCACATTTCTGAACCACAAATCTGACCATATTTCTGGGTCACAAATCTGACCATATTTCTGAACCACAAATCTGACCATATTTCTGAACCACAAATCTGACCATATTTTTGAACCACAAATCTGACCATATTTCTGAACCCCAAATCTGACCATATTTTTGAACCACAAATCTGACCATATTTTTGAACCACAAATCTGACCATATTTTTGAACCACAAATCTGACCAATAATTCTGAACCACAAATCTGACCATGTTTCTGAACCACAAATCTGACCATATTTCTGAACCACAAAAATGACCATATTTCTGAACCACAAATCTGACCATATTTCTGAACCACAAATCTGACCATATTTCTGAACCACAAATCTGACCATATTTAAATAAAAGAATTTCTTCAAAAGTATAAATTCGAATTGCAAGGATTTTCGACAAAAGAATTGAGTCTTAGCCACAATCTCTGATTTTTTAATCTCAATATCTTGGAAATAACGAAAGTTTACACCATCAGGTTAAAAAGGTATAGGGATTAGAAAATTCGAATTTGTGACAAAAAACACAATTCCTTTAATCTTTTAGTAGCATACTTTTAGTAGTTTTATTTTTGCATGTATTGTATTTTGTCCACCAATCTTTCATCGTAGAAAATCTTTTGGGTCCGAAATTATATTTTAATATTTTGAGAGATGAAAATATAGAGTTCTAGATTAGAGAAAAATTTTCTTTGTTCAATCTAAAACTGTCGGGGGGAGTTTGTTTATAATTAGTCACAGACAACTGAAAACTTTATTTCTAGTTTGTTAAACTACTAAACTACTCTACACGTTTTAACTTTATGAAATATCATGATATTTTTTATTTTGAACAAACATCAAAATTGAACTTTTACAATTGGCTTTTTATTATGTTAATTTAGTAATTCAGAAAAATAAATAAAAAACAAATTGTCCGACATTGTGCCTTTTCCGTCTTCAGCTTCCGTTTATTATTCAATAGTTTATTATTCAATAGTTTATTATTCAATAGTTTATTATTCAATAGTTTATTATTCAATAGTTTATTATTCAATAGTTTATTATTTTCAAATTTGATTTTTCTTCAAAAGAAAATACTAAAAAAGAAAAAGCAATTATTGAAACTGTTAAAATTTTAAATCTTCGGATCTAAATTTTCCCTGGCGTTGTTTAAACTTATTCTTCAGATTTTCCAGCTTAATCCTACCCGTGTAAAATGAAGGGGATAAATGTGTATAGTGTGTAGGGGGGGGGGATTAATTTCAAATTAAAGAAAGCCACATCGCCACAGGCAGCTCAGTTACTTAAATAAACTTGTTGTTTTAAAGAAAACTATTCATTTTAAAATATTTATTAGATGTTCCCAACATATTTCTAACGCTCTGCAGTGTACAACTTACTTGTAGTATATATGTACACCTCTGTTTGTCTGTCTGTCTGTGTTTATCCAATAAACGTCAAAACGGCTGAACGGGTTCAAAATTTTGTGTGGGACCTTACATGACCCCAGGGAAGGTTTATTTAAGTTCAAAATTTCAAAAATTAGCCTCCAACAAAATTCGATTTTCATTAAATTTTGAAAATCCACGATTTTTTTTTTGATAAATCCGCAAAATCTTTGTATGTTTTTGTTTTACAATTTACATCAAAGAGAAAATATTCACAATCGAAATAGAAGATGGGCGCGAAGCGCCCTGAAAGCCTTTTCTGTAATATGTATATACATGTATTATGAACATATATCTTATCGCATTAGACCTGTAAGACGTAGACGTAGACTAAACTAAACTCACCACAGGGGGAATAATATTTCACAGGAGAGAAAAAAGCACTAATAACTATATTTTCTAATCTCTCTATCTGCAACCTGAACTTTTGTGTGGATATCGCTAATCTTGAACGCTGTCGATATCCTATGTGGGCACTTTAAATTTGAGGATGAATCCTTGATCCCTCAATTAAAGTTTTGCAGGCTATGATCATCACGGGATATCGAAGAGGAGTAAATTAATCTCTAGTTTTTGATATTTTAAACTTTAACTATTTGATCCAACAGAATATAAGTCTACAACACCAGAGGTTGAAATCTTGAAGTGCATAATCTGCACAAATTCCACAATTTCTACTATGAATATGAAGCAATTAAGTGTTTTATCCGTAAAAACAGCTTTCTTATATTTTAACTCTAATCGGCTATCAGATAGCACTAGGGAATTAACTTAATCCTTTGGAAATTAAGCGGATAACTGCTTGATCTCAGGATTAAAAACACAAAAGTTCTGACTTTAGGCTGCAAAGTTTTGGGGAATAGGAGATTTTAATTTGAAGAGAGTAATCAGTTCATTGAACAATGAAAAGCAACTTTACTAATAAAATTTGCGTGCATATTTCATTAACGCACATAAAAATTTGCTCGCATATTGCATTTACACATATAAAAATTTTAAGATTTCCCTCTTTAAACTGAAAACATGGGGTGGGAACATAAACGACAAACTTAATGTTTATTAGTTACAAAATACAAAATACAAAATATAAAGAAAAATAAAAAACATTCCTGAACAGTTTAAATTCAACAGATGTAAGATTTGCAAGCAAAACTCTTACGATACCCCCAGACAGTAAAATATACAATGCATAAAATGTTACAATGTGGGCACAGCGGAATTGAGTTTTTGTCGCAAACTCTTATTTTCTAATCTTAATATCTCTGCAACCCAATGTTGTGGACCTTAGATATTTCAAACTATAAATTCTGTTAGATCAAATAATCTAAGTTTGAAATATCAAAGGTTTACAAGATCAGGTTGCGAAGATATAGGAATTAGACAATTTGAATTTGTGGCAATGACTCAATTCCTTTTTTTATGTTCATGAAAAAGTTTTAAATATATGTGTATCTATATATGTTTTTAATGAGTTTTTCAATTAAATAATTAGAAAATTAATACGCCCAAAACCTTTTATTAAAAATTTTTCCTTTTTAAAAAAAAATATAGAAGTTCTGTATCTAGACAATCCGCAAATTTTTATGAAAAAAGTGCGTAAATCCAAGAATTTTATGTAAGTTTTTCAATCTTAACAGATTCCTGGCTATTGGCTTCTTTACTCGCTTTAAAGGGACTGTATGCGTTGTTTAAATAGGGACATTCCTGATTTACAATGGTATCCTTTAAAGTTTTTTTCGATCAATATCGTAAAAAATATCATCGCTCTTCTAATTCTGACAATTTCATTCATTGTTAAGATAAGCTAAGATAAGATAAAGTTTATTGCTAAAATAAATGTATCTGTGTACAGATAGAGTTTACAATCACAAAATTGATGATTATATTAACAGTACAAGTATAAAGCAATTAGGTGGAAAATAGCTCTTGGCTGTTTTGATTATTTTTTCTACCTAATTTTAGTAATAATAACAAAATATTTCAATTAAATAGATTTAAGGAGAACGATTAGAGATCAGGGTGCAAGTTTATCATATGCAAAATATTTTATACATTAATTCGAATAACTAGAGTTTAAAGTAATTTTCTGACATGTACACAACAAATAACAAAGCATATTAAAACATATCTAATTAGTTTTACATGAATAGCAATTCGGTTTATAACACATTGTCCTATAATTTTCAAAAAGTGAATTTAGTAGTCTATTTTTAAATATACTTAGAGAGTTGCTTCTTTTTAAGTCAAGAGTCATGCTATTCCACATCTTAAGAAGAGAGCTTGATGGTAAATACTGTAATGAGCACATTTTGAGAATGTCAAGTTGATAGTTAAGAGATCTTTCAAAGGTTCCAAGCTTTTTAAAAATATTTTCAAAAGATGCAGGAAGAAGTTTATGTGTATATTTATACATAATATAGCTTGATTAAAGTCTACCAGATCAATAATCTTTAGAATCTTATACTTAAGGAAAAGAGGATCACTATGAGACGTGGCTTTTGAGTTATCAATTAATCGTATTGCTCGTTTCTGTAAAATGTGAATTTGTTTCATTTCTGAACATTTGTTACATCCCCAGGCTGAAATTCCATATTCAATAAATGATCGAAATAAACAGTTGTAAATGGTTAGTTTAATATTACTAGGAAGAATGTTTTTTACACTTGACAAAGCAAAAACTGCACTGGATGCTTTGTTTTTAACCGCCTTAAGATGATGGTTCCAGTTAAGATTTTCGTCTAAGTGAACACCTACAACCTTAAAAGATTCATTTTTGCATCCAGTTCCTACTCTTTCTATATCTTTATTATCTATTATGTTTCTGTAAACATAAATCCGCATGTTACTTTTAAATAAGCTTTAATTAAAAATAACAAAACTAAAAAGGAGAAACATGTTGTTGACAGATTGTTGCCAGCAAAAGTAAACCTTGTAGCTAAATACTAGAATTAAATTAAAAATGAGAAAAAACAAAATGAACAAAATTGATTAAAAAAACTAGATACATTATTTAAATACTGTAGTTCTGTAGAATCTAGATTAATGATTTGGTTTGGAACAATTTACTATGTTTTGTCTTTCTCCCGCCATCTTCTTATCCTATTCTTCAGACATAAAGTGAGAATCAATCTTGTCCGGTATTGAAGGTATTGGATCTAGTTTTTATCAAATTATTTCTTAGTTAAAACCCAACCTTAAAGGGACCGTAAACAAAATTTAAAGTCACCTTCATTTATAGAGTGGCATGTCTGATTCACAACGTAGATACCCTTTAGACCTTTGTCCATGATTAAGGAAAAATGAGATATCCTTATTTTTCTAGCTAAAAATTGATTTTTTTTCAAGCCTGGTTTCTCTATAAACGTGAATAGAGGGCTTATGCTGGTGGAATTGTTAGAATCAAAATATCTCAATCATTGTTACCCCTAGAGAGGATTAAAGGAAACCACTTAAATGAAGGGTCACTTCAAATTACGTATACAGTCCCTTAAAACAGTTTTCATTTAAAATATTTTGGTATCATGATTAAAGATGTGTAGACTGTTAAGGGAAGGGAAAAAAACTAGTTAAAATTAATAGGTATACCATTGGGGTGTGGTTATCAATTATATCTATTCTATCAATTCTATCTATTCTTTCCATTATAACAATTCTAGCTATTCTATCTATTATATCAATTCTATCCATTCTATCCATTCTATCAATTCTATCTATTCTATCCATTCTATC